TATAAAAAAAGATTTTTAAATAGAATGTATCTAGTAGTACCAGGTAGGTATTCCAGCTCTCACCGTGGCACTTGACCATTTGTATTTGCTTAACTCTGGACTCTACTGAGAACTAGTCCATGAAGTCCATCTCTCTCTAAAAAAAAAAAAAAAAAAGGTCTTCATATAGTACACACACACACACCACCCTACAAGCCCCAGAGCTATGTGTTTTGTGGATCACAGAACATACGATATGTCTGCTCATATGTGAAAAGAACAAGTTGCTTAAAGACACAGAGTAAGCTTCCCTCTAAGAAGGGTTCAGCATCTGTGCATCTTGTGGTAGCTGGGACCAAACCTGCGTGCCATCCTTCTATCCCCGCCTGGCTCCTGTAAACATCAGGTGTATTTGTGCGGGGGAGAAAGCACCTCACTTAGCTCGATCAGCGTCCCTCCGTGGACTCCATTTATGACCTCAGTGAGTCATTACGGCATAATTACAATTCTAGCATGATATGCTGTTTGTTGAAACGTGTTCATTTTTTTGTGGAACAGAGAAAAAAGTACAGTTCAAAAACTGAGCAGGCGAATCGATGCCGTGATGAACTGATATTAACAGACCACCCCCTGAAGATTGAAAAGACGTGCTCTCTGTTTCAGAGGAGCAGCCGAGAAGAAAATGCCTCGCAGGGGTTAAACCCAAATGCCTACATGGCAGCCTATTTCTGTCAACACTCAGTTTGGGAAATAAACATTTATGCTTTCCGAAATGAAAGTGTATTTTTGAAGACTAGACGTCAGATCTTTTTTGCCCTTCACACTTTCAAATGCTCAGCCTTTTTTTTTTTGTAAGTTGACTGCAAAGCGCATCCATCGGTTTGCCAGGCTAAGGGAGGGGAAAAAAAAGTACTGAGGCAGGAGGCTGGGAACAAAATGTACTTTCTTCAAGCCTATTACTTCAGGGGTACCTGTCTCTTGAGAAGCTTTTCGGGCCTTCCAAATGATGTTACTCCCAGCTGTCATCTGGTTTATTTGGAGCACACTGTGTTGGAGATAAACATGCTATTTAACTGCGGGTCAAGGTAGAGAGTGAGTCTGCTAGCAAAATGCCCACGATACATTAAATGGCACTGACTCCCGGACGGAGATGAGGGGAGATCAGAGTTGTCAGTGATACGCGTGGAATGGGCTGTAGCTGGGGAAGGAAAAAAAAAATGTGCCATGGTATCAGTGTATTTTAAAAAGCTGTAACACGGCTGAGCGTTTAAAACTATAACCTGTCACACACCAAAGATTAAGATCCCGGGATGCACAAAACATGAAGTTCAAGCGACACGGCTGCAAAGCATATTTTATTTCACTTGAGAGAGAGGCCTCTCTCCAAAGATAGCTACATGTTAGAGATGACGAGGACCTCTCTCACTTGTAGCCCGGTAGCTATAAAACACCATTAAATGCCGGGAAAAGCACAAACAAGGAATTATCATTCAGATATAACGTGTGTGCCAATAGAGCAGTGGTGTTCTCAGAAAATTCTGTAGGCTTAGTGTATTTAAAACATGCATTTTAATTGAGATCTTTGGTCATTTAGGTTTTTACTCTTTGCTCAGGTCTACTGATAAAAATAATATTTCACCCATGTGTCTTGATGTATATAAAATATGGCTAGCACTCCTAAAGGGTGGAGAGCAGAACTTTGTGGAATTAAAATGTAATCTCTTCCGTATTCAGCCCCCTTAGTGTCCAGGTGACAACAGCCATCTCATAACAAGGCTGTTAGCTTTGCATTTGGTAGGGAGAGCTCTTTGAGCCAGTTTTTGTCTTGCAGAGATGTGGTAGGAAAGGGTTAACCTGTTGAGAGTCAGCTATTTCCAGACTAAGAAGAGATAAAAGTCAAGAGTTTTATTTATGTTGTTTAAAGCGTGGGTTGTTGCTTTTCCTATCATTTTGCAAAATTACACCTCCTTTAATCAGCTAAAATAGACCTGAAGATAGTAAGCAAGCAAACTTGTCAAACCTTCTGTGTTAAATCCATCTTCCCATCCTCCCCGACCAAAAAAAAAAACCACATCCTTTCTTTACTTTTACCCTTCTTTTTATTTCATTAAGAAGTGAAAGGAAAAAGGGAAAAAAAGTTAGGTTTACAGGAAGGATAAACACACACACACACACACACACACACACACACACACACACACACAAAATCACCTACCTAGAAGAAACAAATTGCAGGATCCACCTTTAAAAAAGCGAAATTTTATTATTTTATTTTGCTGAATTAAACCTCAAAAGAAATGTGTGAGCCACTGTTATGGCTGAAAAATTGTTCATTTGTAAATCGCAGGGACAAAGGGGGCCCCGGCGCAACTTTCAAGTTTCCGTGCACGTAAACGTCAATAGCGTGTCTTCTCCATCATCAGCACTAAATTCACATTGATGCCTCTTTTCTTCTCCGTATTGATCCTTCCATGAGAACGCAGATTTGTATCTGTTAATTAATGCGTCCTGAAACAGCGTTTGTATTAATCAGGCAGATAAGAAAAATTGGATGCCTGCACCCTCCTGACAACCGTAAAAGTGCTGGCCCTGATAAAATCGTGGATGGACCTCAATAAAAAAGTTCCTCCTTCCACTCAATAAACTAATCATCCTGCTTTTAATTATTCGGCAGAAAGATGTGTGGAGATTGGAGAATGTGTAAATCTATTTACTAACAGCAGTGTCTGGGAGGGAGACTAGGGCTGTGACAGGAAGGGGCTGCGGGCTCTGTCCATCTGCCACTGCAGAAAAAAACTGCTGCTGGGAGCATGAAAAGCAAGAGGAAAACTAAAGCGAATTGAAAACGTCTTTTTGCTCATCACTTCCTGGATGATCATTTATTTGTTTGTCTATTTAATTTACAAAAGAAATTCCTCCTCAGTTCCTTTCCCTGAGTTTGATATTAGGATGTGCATTGCATCTTTTTTTTTCCTTTGGGGGTGGGGAGGGGGGAGTAGGAAAAAAGCAATATTGTTTGTTGTTTGTTTGTTTGTTGTGAGTATAACATGCTGAAAATTGAAGGCAAGCGTAGCCAAACCTACTCGGACCAGATCATTATTTTTCTCTTCTGAATCCCTGTTGAAAGTGTTATCAATTGTTATATCTAATTCTAAGAGGACAGGTATTAATTGAACCCCACATTGTAAGGAGGAAAAAAGAAAAAAGAGTGGAAAAAAGGGGAAAAAAAAAACTTACACAGCCAGTCCAAAAGAAGATCTGTCAAGTAATATGTCAGCAGCTTGATAAGCAATGAAATAAATGCTTTTTACAGATGCCCGAAGACCCTCTATAGAAAAGCTCGGCTAATCCCTCTTGATGATTTTATTAACGCTTCTAGTTAATGGTGCCAAGTGGCAAACGACTAGTTTTCACTAACAGGCCAGAAAACCTCCTTTTTCTTATTGTACTGTAGTTCCTAATATCACACGGGATAGGAACAATTTGATATGAATAAAATGACAGCAGGGACCACAGCAAGAGCCTAAGAAGGTTGGGCAGCAGTGGGTATTTATGATTTGGGTAATAATGAGTTTTCGGAGGGGAGGGGGAGTAAACATAGACTTTATAAGTTGCGTTATCAAAGGTTTCCTCCTTCTATAGAATTACTGGTGGCAGTAGCTTAAATCATGGTACCATTATCCTAAAGACACAGGCGTGGTTGGTTATCCTTGGAATTTCTGGGCATAATCTGGGAAATGAAATTTGAGAGTCTAAGAAACATTTCTCTTTTAGGATTCTTAGAAAAAGTATGTGGCTGACTATCAGGTACATTTCCTAAGACCTTGTTCCTTAGATTTCTTTTAGAATTTAGATCTGATCTTTCTAAGCTATAAATATATATCTTTACTCCTAAGTAAGTTTAACTGTATTACTTCACTGAACCACATTTCCTTTT